CAGAAATAAAAGTCATCTCTAGGAAACTGTAGTAATCACTTTGATTAGTTCAGGAGAATCTTAATAGAAGATGTTGGTTAAAGACCAACATAAATTTTAAATCCATACTGTTGCAAAAGTAGGATATAGCCCATTGCTGACTGTCTTTTTCCAAATAGCACAGTTGATGTTAAGGGAAGTTGGAAGTGGATTTGGCTGAATTTTCAGTACCAAGATTAGAAGTTTGTCCTCAGTGAATGGATAGCCACCTTTGCGTTGTTTTTGAGTGTTATGATTTCTGTGCTTTCCTAAGATCATGATGGCATGTGTTTGCAAGGTAGTATCAGAGAGAGAGAGAGAAAGAGAAAGAGAGAAAAAGAGAGGTAACATGGAGGTTTATTTAAAACAAATGTTCAGTGAGCATCAACACACCCAGTTTAATAAAACAAAAACTGTCTGATATATAAGCACAGATCAGCCTCACATAATGTTAGCGATGATTTAATACTATTTTCACTAATGGATATCTATACAACAAGCCCTGAAGAACATCAGAGTTAAATGACATTATAGACAACAGGGATTTAATAGGCATCCTAAAATATTCTGCTACCAGACACAGGACACACATTATTCTCAGCAGCCTATGAAATATTCTCTAACATAGAACATGCTTTAGGTCAGAAAACTAGGCTTAACACATGCAAGAAAACAGAAACGATTTATTATATACTATCTTGTCACAGTGCAAAAGAAAAAAAATCTGAACAGCGTGAGAAAGAAAGAAAGTAAATGAACTCGTGGAAACAGACCAATATAGTATTAAGTTGTCAATAGGTCATTAGAGAAATCAGGGTGAAAATTAAAAATTCTTAGACTCAAATGAAAATAAGATCACAACATACCAGAATCTGTATGTAAAATAAAATAGCAACAAGGAGGAAATGTATTTCTAAAATTGCCTACTCTATATCTCTCTATCTTACCTTTATCTCTCTATCTTTATCTCTATCTCTCTAGATCGATCTATCTATCTATCTATCTATCTATCTATCTATCTATCTATCTATCTATCTATCTATCTGTATATCTATATAAATTAAACCTAGAATTTTGTCTGTCAGAATTTTCAAGAGAATATAACACTAACATATTTTTAAAGAGTAGTTAGTTAGTTAGTTAGTTAGTTAGTTAGTTAGTTAGTTAGTTAG